ACTCAGAAATCCTATTTAAAAATCACACCGTTATTTTTTCAATTGTTTACCATGTTCCAGTTACTTATACTCCACTCTAACCTCCACACACCAGCATGAAGAGTTAATCTACAATTTATATATGACTAATATACAATTTATCTTATTATTAATTTCTCTTGCTTTGAGACATTTTTATGCTAAGTTCTCTTCCCTTTAACTTTTCTAGCTCAATACTGAATTTATCACAATTTGAGGGACTTAATTGCTTTAACCTACAATTTACCCATCCTCCAGACTGCGCTTTTAAAACACGATTTTTTTTTCTACCTGCAACTCCTAGCGACTCATTATTTTTGCTGTATGTATCATGGTACATATCTTTAATTTTTTTCCCTATTCCATGAGTTCCTTTTAAAACTCTCCTAGGGATAAGACTGGATGAATGAATCAAAGAATCTTCCATAAAACATCTCCACCTCTGCTCTTTGAGGATACCTGACTAGGAGAGTTATTTTTTTGCACCATTGTTCTAATTATTCTAACACATGCTCAATTCTGTACACTGTTCAGCCAATTCAGCGAGAGAAACATCAGGTATTTTATTCTGCATTAGGTAGGCAGACCTCCAGCCATGCCCTGATCTCCTGTGGCTTTGAGGGACCGTGGGCTTTCCACCTAAGGTATGTAACTTACCAAGGAAGGCTCTTTCATGTGAAACCATTACACTCCTTCTGACTTAAGGCTCTGGCCATGGACAAGGGCTTCCACCTCTAACTACCAGCCATGTCCTTTCTCTGTCCTTGACCTTCCCTGTTGGAATCGCAGGCTCTCAGTCTGGCCCACTGCCCTCTCTGGGTCAGCCCTCCCTCCCTGTCCATAAAGTTGATGACTTTGTGACTCTTGAGAGGAAGCACAGGATACGCTTCTGGATCCCCCGCTGCCTCTGCACACTCAGATCCTTTCCTGAAATATGATCCTGGACAAACTCAAAAGAATGGACCACCGAGATGTGTGAATGATAAATTTTATAAGGACGGGAACGCAGTGTAAAGGCATCGTGTGTCATTCTGAAACCGCCCTGACTTTGCCGAGCTGCCCTAGAAGGAATGCAGTAAGGTGTTTCTTTCTCTCTGTAAAGTTTCCTTTACACTAAATAGGTCCACTGCAAGGATTCCACACTTGAATGTCTGCAATCACCCTCACAAGGGTAAAATTTGCATATCAAACATAAGTCACCATGGAAAACTTGATGCCTCAGGAAACTGGAATGAGTAATAAAATCTCTTTACTATTACAGCAGGCAGTTTCCCAGTTAAAATTTAATATTGGTAAATATTGACTAGTCATTAACTAGTCACTGTTGGTGAACAATGGAATATCTAAAGTGGATTTTGTTACTTGAGTGATGTAACAGCTGTCTTAAAATAACTGTCTTAGAAGCTATTCTAAAAACTGTAAGCAATAAATTATCAATATTTTTTTTCTACATAATAACGTCTGCATGGAGTTCATCAATGTTTGTCTCAGAAAAGTGATACCCGTACTGCCATTTGCAACAACACGGATGGAGCCAGAGAGAATTATAGTAAGTGAAACAAGTCAGGCACAGACAGAGAAATATCACATGTTCTCTCTCACTTATTTGTGGGAGCTAAAAATAAATAAGTAAATACACAAATAAACGGGGGTGGGGGTGGGGGGAGGGAAGAAGACACAACAGTTACAATTCCTTGAAGTTGACAGGACAAGCGAACAGATATGAGGCTGTTGGGAGGGGGGGGGAAGCACGAAGGGAGGGAGGTTTCAGTAATGGGCCACAATCATCAACCACATTGTATATTGACAAAATAAAATTTAAAAAAAAATTTTTTTTTTTAAAATTTAAAAAATAAGTAAAATTTTCAAAATAAAAAAAGAAAAGTGATACCTCAAGAGAAGGCCTCAGAAGCAGCCTCAAAAGCAAAGTTTTCCGCTGACCTTCTCCTGCCCTCTTGCTCCCAGCCTTATTCTCTCCCAAAGCAAGCCATGGAAACTTTAATCCCTCTTCCCCAAGGTGGGCCATAGAAACCAGAACCCCCTTCCCCAAAGCCAACTACAAAGACTAAAATTATACACTAATCCTCCCCCTGCCTTCTGTCTTGGAGCTGCCACAAAGAACTGCTCTGCCTACCTTCTCTGACTATAGGTCATAGACCTCCACTACAGAAAGGGTCCTGCCCTTTATGCTGGAGGAACGAATGTTACACAGAAAGGCCAACAGAATGTGAACCAACAGGCCTTGCTGTGCTTCCTCACTCAGTCTACGAACCCTAGATATTACCTTTCTTGTCCAATCAATCACATTTCTACACAGCTGCCTCTGCTTCGTAAGCTAAGCATAGAAGTGAACAGTCTTCCCTACATCTTCGGGTCTTCATTCTGAGGGCTTCAGTGCCCCCTAAAACTATGATCAAGTAAACCTGACTTGCCTTTTTTCCCTATTAATCTGTTTGTGAGTCAATTTTTCAGAGCGCCTTCAGGGGGTTGAAGGGAACGTCTTCCCTTGGCCCCTGCATAAGCATCCTTAGAGATGGCACTTCATTCAGTTGAGGAATCTGCTTTGGCAGCAGAAGACAGGCTAACAGAGAATAATGTTGGTTTCTATGTAGCCTTTTCAATGAGTCAGGAATAACATTTAATAGGAGTTAATGGAGAAGATAATATAAATGAAGTTACTTAAAACACACTTTAATCTTTCTCTGCCTCAATTTTCTTACCTGCAAAATGGGAAGAATACCTACTTCACCGGTTGTCATGCAGATCTGAGCACAAGGAAGCATTCTCAGATGGCTGATGGCTATCATTACTATCGCCTTTACTGCTACAGGACCATAGTAGTATAAAACAGCTTCACGAGGATAACTGATTTGTTTAGCAATCCAGGATCCCTTGAGTGTTTTCAACTGGTGGAGGCAGAACCCTTTGGAGGTCTGCAGGTGAGGGGACAGGCCTCCTCACCCTTTCTCTCCACCCCTGCTGGCGCTCAGAAGGTGGAGTGGAGGTAAACTCTGCTAATGCTAAGATCATAACAGCCTCTGACTCTAATTACATGTCAATTAAAAAAGAAGTTAAATTTGCGTTTTCTGAAAAAATAGCCACTTATGTGAAAATGATAAGGACCAGAAATGTGCTGGCTTAACAGTAGCAACAATGAGCATGTGGCAGAAATTTGCCTAGACTCACAGATGCAATAAATAAATCATCCCCAGCTACAGAACCACACTCAGTAGGTGTTATCATTTCACATGTACTATACACATGTCATGAGGGTACTTCAGAAAGTTTGTGGATATTTTAAATAGAATTAAAAGATGAAACACTGGTTGGAGCCCAAGTTGTAACACCAAGGTCAAGGGTTTGGATCCCTGCACCGGCCAGTTGCCCCCTCTCCTCAACCCGCAAAAAAAAAAAAAAAAAAAAAAAAA